AGACAAAAAATATTTTAAAAAGAGGTTTAATATAGACTCATTGGTTTTTTTAAATGTTTTTAAACAAAATAAAATATGTCTCATCAATAAAAAAATCCGGACAAGTGCGAGTCGTAATCACCCACCGAGGGTTTCGTACGCATTTTTAGGTACACATTATAGTTCAGGAATCGAATCTCGCAATTTTTTCCGAGCTTTGCCCGAAATTCAGTTTACATAAATTACTTATATTCTTGAGTTTTATAAGAGAAATTTTACCTCGATGATTGATTAGGTACTTTAAATAAAGACTATATTTTTTCTGATTTATTTGTAAATGTATAGTTTTCAGATTTTGCCCTGTACTTGTAGTATAAGACGATGTTTCCTCCCAAATTTCAGAGTTATAGGTCAACGGGAAGAACGTACCCTATGAAGTTGGTTTTTTTTTGTTGCATCAACGACCGAATCTTTTTTTTACGTTACTTAGGAGTTTGATTGTTTTACAGCTTCAAAGGACTGTAGACCTGAGTATATGATCTTAATTTCAATTCCATACATTCACGCGTGCCCGAGATAAAGGGTCTTGACAGACAGAGAGACGGACAACAAACTGATTCTGGTAAGGGCTCCGTTTTTTTCCTATCAAGGTACGGAACCCCAAAAAAAAAATCATTTTCAATTAATATTTTGCAGGAAATTTAATTTTTCAAAAAAGCAATGTAAAATATAATATAAAAGTAATGTTCTGGTCAGTAATAAATCTAAACTAAAAAGAAAATCTACAAATTTCAACAGTTTGCTTTGTCTTTACTTTTCATTGTAGTTTTGGGTTTGAGGAACCGAGGATCCAGAGCACCCGCCTCCTTTTATTCCACGTTGATGAAGCATTCCCACCGTGCAGCAGTAGAATATAAATTGTTTACCTTCATAGGCTAAAGGGAAGAAAATTGAGATATAATCGAATTTTAACTGACCTATTGAAAACCGTTATGTTTATTGCTTAAGGAAGTTCTATTATGGCTTAGGAATCTTTTGTGAAAGTGAGAAAGTAAAATCAAGTAGTAAAATACCTATATTTTTGTAGTAAATATTATAAATGCGTAAATTTTCTTCAGTTTTCGGTTTCCAAAGTAATCGGGAGTAATTGTAGGGCATCCGTATCTAATGACCGAATTATTAATAAAATTCAAAAAAAAGAACATAGCAATCGACTGTGTTAGTAAGTCATTAAACAAATTTACAATCCCATATTTTTATTCTGTTCAGTTCTAGTTCTATTAAGTTCGGATCGTTACCTTAAAAACAAACATATACGTCGCTTTAACTATCCATTCCATTACAAATCTACGCAACTACCCACAATGCAAAAGCATATTTTTATTTTATTATTATTACTGTGTAGGTGTTTGCAGACTTAGGTAAGTATGGCTCTCCCGGCCTAAGTTAATTTACATTGTGTGTGCATGGCTCAAACGCACATGTTGTGAACTTTATCGATGCAATTTTCGATAAAGCTGGCTACATACTCTGTTATTTCTGCAAACATCTACACAATAATAATAATCTGCACAATTTTAACTAAACTTTGTTTAGGTAAAAATGTGCTTTTGCATTGTGGGTAGTTGTTTTAGATTTGACATTGAAATGTGCTTACATGCACATTTCAATATGGCGTCCAGGTATAGATGTGCAAAATAACCATTTCAAGTTAGACGAGCTATATTTTTTATTTTGTATAAGTAAAACCTCACAAATTAATCCTAATTAACTTCATCATGACGCCAACAACGATGTTTTCTCGATTTTTTTTGCATTTACAAGCAAGCAATTTCTTTAAAAGCAAGCAAAAATAAAAAAAATAGCATAAACAACCCTTAAAACACTTCAAACTGGTTGTTTCAATGATCAGATCGCTTTTTCGTATTATATTTAAGACTAGATAGATTTAGTGATCCATTTGTGAAGTATATTTATCACTAGCTGGTACTTGCTTCTTCGTTCGCTTGAACTTCGAATCTCTCGGAACGGAGGGTTTTTTCTGAGAGGTGAAAATAGCCTAATTTACACCGTATATAGACAGCTACGTGGTAGTAAAATATGTTTAAAATCGGTCCAGTCGTTTAGAAGATTACCCGAACAAACAGACAGACAAAAAAATTAAACTTTTTTAAGGTTTTCAGGCATTGTAAATGTATCGTGCAAATAGCCGTGTGAGCTTAAAAAAAACCTATTATTTTGAAATTACAAACAGACACTTCAATTTTATTTATTTGTGTAGATTAATAAAATATTATTAGCATTAGCATTTTGTTTAAAAATATATTTAAATACTAGATGTACCCGCCACGCTTCGTTGTAGCACATTGTGGTTGCATTGGTGAGAAATGAATATTAAAACTGATGCAAAAAAGAGAGAAAAATAATCTTTGGAGCGGTTTGTATTTCGTACATAAAATTGAGCTCAATCGGTTAAGAGCTTTTTGAGTTCTTGAAGCGGACTTCGTACACAAACCATTTTGGCATTTTTTTATATAGATTTAGTATTTCAATACTTTCTCAATTCCTTATAATTTTTTTAGGTTTACCCTACTTGGTGGTCATGTACAATTGCCATTTATGAAATTAATAGTAAAAGCAAAATAAGCTGTTCCTATTGATTTCTTAAATTTAAATGTTATGGTATTATATTTTTATTATTAATAAGAATAATAATTTATTGACAAAAGTCGGTACACATATGATTGAGAATCTGCTGGCTTCTGCGCTAATTTAAACTGTGTTGCAGGAGACATTGGCCTCCGCACGTAGTATAAAGGACCCAATGCCATAGATATACAAGCAATACAATAAAAAAAAGGACAAACAAATAAAACATAAAGAAAATAAAAAAAACTAAACATAAGTAATCAAAATCGATCTAAGTGGCGTGCAATGGGAGAGGCCTATGTCCAGCAGTGGACTACGATAGGCTGATGATGATGATGAAACATAAGTAATCACCTGGTTAATTTTTGTGTGTGTTTGTTACGTATATTTAATCGTAACTAGGTCTTCCGTGCTGAAATAATTCAATGAATTGAATACGTGATGGATGCCTTTTTTCGCTGCATTGTTATTTAATTTACTTATTTTACAGATTTTGCTATAGTTGTTATATGTTATTACATTTTTACATTATTATTTTATTGCATCAATTTTTTTAAATTTTAACATATTTTTTACTATCAATAAACTTGTATTAGTAGTAATTTCTTTAACAGAGGTTCATTTCCCTAGAGCCTTTGACCGTATAAAACCTATCATGGCAGAACCTAAACATTCCAAATCGTATATAGTAATTATAAAAAAATATATCATAATATGTAACTCTTAAGACCTATAGGAAATACTGCTTTTTACACGATTTTATTAGCTTATTATGTATATATGTATGTATATATGTATGTATAAATGTAACGGACTCTTTGAACATGATTTTTACCCACTTTCAAACGTCGAATTGCATCGAAACTTCGCACACTTATCAAGGACCGATGACAATACAATAATTTAATAAATGTGTCCGATTATCCTCATCAGAATCTTCAAGATTAATAGTTTTTTCTATACCTAAAAGTACGGTAGTGTCTTTTGCTACGTACTAAGAGGCGTGTGCTGAAGCATATATGACTTGCTTACTTTTAACTTTTTTATTCTTAAAGAGAAAATAATCATCATTAATGACTAAAAAATAAAAAATAAAATAAAGTTTAAAAAAAATACCTTTAAAGCACTCCACGCTTTTTTACCATAAAATGATTTTTCTTTTTGAACTTATAGAAAATTACTTTCTACTTTTTAGTTTGGCTTGTTACAAAAGGGTGTTTTTTAGTGTTTTTAAACTGTATTTTGTTAATTAATGAAAACACGCGTTTTATTACATTATGAGATTATTCTGTGTCAGGAAAGTAACGGTCCATCCGTTACTTTCCTGACACAGAATAACGTAGGAAGGCATTTTTTCCTGCTTTGGTCTTTAGAAGGACCTTTATTTATTTACTAGCTTTTGCCTGCGGCTACGCCCGCGTAAATGGGGGTAACCGCGGAAAAAAGTAGCCTGTCTTTCCTCAAGAATCAAACTATCTTTTACTAAACTAAATTTTATCTAAATCGGTTCAGCGGTTTAAGCGTTAAGAGGTAACAGACAGACAGACAGAAAGATAGATATACAGAAACACTTTCACAGTTATAATATTATAGAAAGGATTAGTAAGGTAGGTAGAGTGAGAGATTAGAGTACAGAGAGTACAGTAGTGCTTCAAATACCTTAGTTACTCCTTATATAGACAGCTACCTGGTAGTAAAATATTATCAAAATTGGTCCAACCGTTTAGAAGATTATCCGGAACAAACATGCAGATAGACAGACATATTTTTTCTACTGGTTTTTTGGCATAGGTAACGTGCAAATAACCGTAAGAGCATGAGAAAACCCATTATTTTGGTATCACAAACAGACATTTCAATTTTATTTATTTATAGATGTGTAATAATAATAATTTATTTCAAAACCAGAAAAATGCTATCTCCTACGGAGTAACAAAAACATACAGTTATTTAACAATAATGTAGGTTCAAATATATAAGTATGAGTTATCGTTTAAAGGGTTCAGCCGTTTGTAGAGCAACTCGTTTCATCGCCACATAAAATATTTACAACTTCCGAATATTTTATCCTACTGAAAACGAAACGCCGCCCCGTTTAAGTACTTATGAAACATTCGGTGCAAAAATACTTGTAAAATTTATTGAAAGCGATGTAGTAAACTAATTGTTATTCCTTTTTAAATATCTGTTGGAAAATGAACAATACTGGGTTAACTTTTTAATATATTATTTCTTGTTTCAGGTACGGACACAGCAGTCTATCAAGTTACACCAGAAATGTGTTTTAATAAGTATCTTATAAAGCTGGCGGACTATTTCAGATTGTGCTGGAATACATCTCGTTAATGTCAACGTGAATAGTATAATTCGAGATGATTAGCAACACGAAGATTGTATTTACCAAACTGTTACTTTGCGTGCTCATAGCGAGCGTCTGCGGTCGGTCATGGGCTAATCATCATGACACCACGACGTCTACAACCCAAACTACACCCACAACTAGTCCCGTACCAAAGAATTTCCATAATGATCCACTTATCGTCGAAACCAAGAGCGGTCTTGTCAAAGGTTACGCTAAAACGGTTATGGGCCGTGAAGTGCACATCTTTACCGGTATTCCTTTCGCTAAGGCTCCATTAGGACCTTTGAGGTTTCGTAAACCAGTTCCAATTGATCCATGGCACGGAGTTCTAGAAGCCACGTCAATGCCAAATAGCTGTTATCAAGAACGATACGAATATTTTCCTGGTTTTGAAGGAGAGGAAATGTGGAATCCAAACACAAATATCTCAGAGGATTGTTTGTATCTAAATATTTGGGTGCCACAACACCTACGAGTTCGCCATCATCAAGATAAGCCTCTTACTGAGAGGCCGAGAGTGCCAATACTAGTGTGGATATACGGCGGAGGCTACATGAGCGGCACAGCAACACTCGATCTATACAAAGCAGATATAATGGCTTCATCCAGTGACGTAATAGTGGCCTCAATGCAGTATAGGGTGGGTGCGTTTGGATTTTTATACTTAAATAAATACTTTTCCCCGGGAAGTGAGGAGGCGCCAGGAAATATGGGCCTTTGGGATCAACAGTTAGCTATTCGATGGATAAAAGATAACGCTCGTGTTTTTGGCGGTGATCCCGAATTGATCACTCTATTTGGCGAGTCAGCTGGAGGTGGAAGTGTAAGTTTACACATGCTTTCTCCTGAAATGAAAGGATTGTTTAAAAGAGGTATACTTCAATCTGGCACTTTGAACGCTCCCTGGAGTTGGATGACTGGAGAGAGGGCACAGGACATTGGAAAAGTTTTAGTAGATGACTGCAACTGCAACAGTAGCCTATTAGCCGCGGACCCAAGTTTAGTGATGGATTGTATGAGAGGAGTAGATGCCAAGACTATTTCAGTACAACAATGGAACTCATACACTGGTATATTAGGATTTCCATCTGCACCGACAGTCGACGGTGTATTTTTGCCTAAAGATCCGGAAACAATGATGAGAGAAGGCAATTTCCATAACACCGAAGTGCTTCTGGGAAGTAATCAAGATGAAGGTAAGTTTTTGCTGCCGGCTTTATAATATTAAGCAAACTATACCCACACTTTCTATTATGTATATTAAAATAGTCTGATGATATATTATGAGTCCTATTTCACAAATATACAAAACGTAAGGTGTATATTAGTGTCCACCATTCGAATATAGAATTTCATTTCTATATTCTTTTACACCTTAGTTATTTATGGTTGTTTCTTTCAATGTTACATTTTGGACATAATAATGATAGATAACATATATGTTAATATTTACAAACAATTACTGCGTGTCACATAATGACGTAGATAAACACACTTAAAAGCGACGTAGAAAGGTAACTAACACACGAACGTTAAAAACAAAAAAAAAAATGGGCTTAAGTACGTCTTATCAATATTTGTGGTAGAATTCAAGGTCTATTAACTAGGATTCGCACACTTATCGGAGACGTGGCAGAGTAACGCGCCTGCGCAGATCTATGTAGACACAACAACAACATGATTTCTAGCCGTACTACCAGGTACTACAGACTCGCCCACGTACCTCGGCACCGCCCCCACTACTCGCGGGGCCTCACACCTCTCTCTTAAGCTGTTGCTACGCACCCCACCTCTCGAGAAGAGACTTCAGGTTCAGTAAAGGACAACGCGTAGAAAATTAAATATTTTAATCGTCTTAGAATTGTCTATTAAAGTCGTCTCATAGCTTTTGAATACGAAATAAATGCATGTTTGTTTAAGATGATTAAAAAATAGTTTTTATTGGTGTTTATTAAACATAAAATCAATAAATGGTATTTAACGGCAACAGTTAAACCTTTAAATTGTATTAACAGTTTATTTGTGTAATAAACTGTTAATACTTTTCAAAGAGTTAATTTTTTTTCTTTTAAAAAGTGTCTGATTAATTCTACGTTACCGGGTTTCAGCCTACTCAGTGACTTACGGCCCAATTTATTATGCTAACAAAATTCTCTGTTGTAATTAAATAATTACGTCGTTAAACCATTTACGATGACCTTGTCGCTTCTCAAGTTCAAGGTTATAATAATTTTGAGACATTAAGATCCGTTTGCACTGTTTAAAAATTATGTTATATGTATATTTTTCTTCTATGTGAGCTTTTTATTTGTGTTTGTTGGCTATTGACGTTCTGTTGTTTTCTGTTTGAACCATCATAGTGGACACTTAAGTAGACCGTAACAACACGTTGAAACAACTTAAAACAAATGTTCTAAAAGTTAATATAATAAATAAATGTTATTTATTGTACGCTTTTTTAAAAACTTTTTCATTTGGCTTGAACACTTGTGAGATTTATTTCTTAGTTGACTTACATACAACAAACTTAAAATACTGAACATGTCGCCCTAAATCACACGTATAGATAAAAAATTCATGTATGTTCACAAAGTTTTTCAAATAAACGAGGAAAATACTTGGACCATTATGCAGTACGCATCTTAAAACGTATACACACTTGCAACTGTTATTTGATTTCATCGTCCGGCCGGTTTTCTCTGAATTTCAAATTTTTAAATGTAGTAGGTATAACATATGCCACCCATGCTTTGAATTTTTAACTTCTCAGATATGAAATGTAGAAGTAGTAGGACTTTATATTGTTGTTTATTTATATATAGTACAAGAAAAAGATGCTAAATTAATAAAAAAATATGATATTTAAAATATGAAAACCAAAATTATACCCGTGTTATGTATCAATTAGTAACCATTTAACTTTTAGCAAAATACTTACAATAATGCATTTTCAAGCCATGCTATTTATCAGAGCAACCGTTGAACAGCAAAGTTTTTTATAAGTTTTTTTTCGTTTAAACTAAATTTTATTTTAACATGTAATGAATTTCTTATATCGCTATCGTAAACATTTTTGTTATTAATTTTTATAATGGATTTTGTTCCCTAAACAAAACCAATTAAAGAAACTATTTGTTAAGACTTTTAAAGTTTGTTAAGACACCTATTACCTACATCGCTAGCAACAAAAGTAAGTTACAAACCGGTCCCGTTTTGTGATTAGGTAGGACAGTCTACCGTCTCCCTAATACAAGATCTAGAAGTCTCGTATTACTCGGGAAGGAAATTGCAACGGACACGTTTGAATCTTGAAAGGATTTCCACGTTCTTTTCTTAAAGCCCGAAGCCATGTGACGAAGAAAAATAAAAAGCGGAAACAGCGTTAGTACAGACAATATTTATGTTGCAGTGAGTTAGCTTTATTAGATAACAAACATTAAAGATAAAAGGAAGGTATAGTTTTGCGAGATTCTCTTTAAAATTGGAATATAATATGCTTATTTTAACAGTATGCGTCAAGCATTTAAACAAATACCAATATCGATCATTATACCCATTTCATGCATATAAAGCCGCGTCGAGTCATCATCATCATCAACAGCCTTTACTAGTCCACTGCTGGACATAGCCCTCTCCTTAGAAAGGAGGTTTGGGCCTACTATACCACGCTGGCCAGACGAGTTGGTATAGGGTTTGTTTCAAGTTTTCCTTCTTTTTGCAGTGTTGTTGTTTTACGTAATTTAGTCAGATGTTACAACACCCGTGGGATGAATAGGGGTGGTGACACTCTGTATTTTTAATCCGTCACCACGGACAGCGTCGAGTGCATAGATAAAACACTATAAACCAGCGGTTCGAGTGTTATAGGATCCATGCTAACAAGTAAGAATTATTTGTACAACGGCAAAATGTAAAGTTGTTCAAACAAATAGGTCTCTAATGTTGTTAATCTCAGGAAAAAATTGAAAGTTTTGCGCAAGTTGACATGTTGTGTTGATTACTGTCGAAGTTGTAACACTTGTACATTTTTTATATCTATATCAAATGAAGTGAATTCTGTCAAATTTGTAATAATTGATGAGAGACTACTTTTGACATTGAAAGTCACAGGGAATTTAACTAACAATAAAATTAATCGCCACAGGGTCCAAGAGCCCGCGATCTTCATCATTTTTTAAAAAGACAACTCCCGCACTAGGAATAAATCCTGTGTCGCGGAGGACTTTATAAATACACATGAAACGGACACAAAGAACACCCAGACTCAGAACAACAATTTGTGGATCACATAAAGTGTCGTCCCATGTGGGGATCGGATCCACAACACTCAGCGTGGTGTGCCAAACCACTACGCTATCCGTGCAATCAATGATTGTAATTATGTTCATGTGCCCAACCAAGCCAGACACGATTGAAGTTTTGATCATGTTGGCTTTGGTACCTTTTTTTGTGTACTGGCCGAATTTTATGGATTTATAAATTAAAATGTTTTTTTTTTTTATTATTTAATAAATATTTAAAAAAATATACTCTGTATTAAATACTCGTCCACTGAATAATCATGCAATCGCACAACCCACTTTGCCTATGAACATGAAACGTGGTGAACATGAAATGCATAGGGGGGCAAATTCAATTTGCGGAATATCCAAATTAAAAATGTGTAAGAACTCTGGAAAACTAGTTTCATAAATTTATATGTAACTTCTGATATTTTAGTACTATATAACCCTGAATTAGGGCAGTAGTTAGTCTTTAGATAGAATATGTCAGATAAGAATGGAATTTACGACAGAGCCAGATTAAGATTATTAAGGGTTCTTAAAACTTTATATAAAAGGTATGGACTTCTTTTTGTTTGATTATTCTTTATAGGGACACCTTACGGTAGATAAAAGATTGATTCTTTCGGGTTTTATTAAAAACATTCTGAGGATTCGTACTGTATGGGAAAGTCAGACAAGAAGAGATGTTAACCTGAGCACACTTGCATAATATGTTGTCTCAGACCGTGCTTTGCCTTGAACATTATATCAAATTAAAAGAAAACACGTCTTATGCAAAAGCATCAGACATGTTTTCTTAAGTAGAGTAAAAACTTAAATATTTCTTATTTTTTAATTTCTTTGATGTGTTATTACTGAATGTTGGTCAAATTTTAGTGAAAATGATTTGATTGGGTACGATGCCCGCCCAGGACAGATAATTGTAAAATTAATTACAATCTTATCTGCGTGTAACTTACCTGAAATATATATATAAGTATGTGTATCAGCAATTTTGTTACCATGCTACAAGTTCTAGCTAGTTTTTAATCATACAGCCGAATGTCAGATGTCTCAAATATTTCTGACGATTGTTCCTTCATCGGTTGGGTACATAAAGAAAAAACTTTCAGATTTTATGGAATGACGTAGGTCTGGCAATCTTTAGCTCTTGATCTGTTTTGTGGTTTTTTTTTTTATGTTAGAGGGGGCAGACGAGCAGACGGGTCACCTAATGGAAAGTGACCATCGCCGCCCATGAACGTCTGCAACTCAGGAGTCACAAACGCGTTGCCGGCCTTTTGGGAAGGAGTAGCCAAGGTTTGAAGGTCGTATCGGTCCGGAAATACCGCAGACGATAACCCGTTCCACAGATTGTTAAATAGTTAAGTTTGGTAATGTCCATCATGTGCCTACCCTTGTCCTAACGTTGCTTGGTGTTTACACATTTTGAAAATTCTGCTGCCTGTGAGCTGTCTTTGGATTTAGATAATATAACTAGAATTAGAGATATTAAACGAACATAAATGATAAATGCCTAGAAAACTTCATCTGTAACTAGACTAATATTAATATTTTTCTGAAATCGACGAGAACTACGTCGATTTAGAGTTTATCTTATAGACAGATTTCTTTAAAAACTATGAAATCAATAAAAAAACATATAAGCAATTTAGACTCAATGTAAAATAAGTAACGACTTCTTGACAACAGCTAGTTGTAGTTACACTGGTAGGCCCTGCCACTTAGCAATCTATCTTTACATTTACAATGCTGCTTTCTTGACTAGCTTGCCAAATATTAATCCGAAAAGTCCCCACTTTGCTGCAACAGGTTTGCTTTTTGTTTTGTGATTAACGCCGGAATATAATTAGTAAAATGTGGACGGTTAACACACGTCTGCATGCCCTTCGAGATTACAAATGTTTATACAGAAAACACTGTTTATACAGAAAATATAATTTCATTTCTGTATAAACAAACATTAACCCACAGATATATCAATCTAAAGATTAATGCCTGAAAACTTGAGATCGTTATTCACAACAAAGAGAATATCTGTACATAGTTACTCGTACTTCTAAAACTGCAATAGCATTTTCATAGTCACATATGGATATGAACGGCTCTAGGAAAGATGTTGTTCTAAAAAACATATTTTTCTAAAAACATTCCATCCCCGGTGCCCACTTAACCTTGACCTCGAGTCAACAAACATGGATTGCGAAGTACCAATGTTGCGCGGGTGTAAGCCCGCTAGTATTATACCTGATTATTACTCACTTTCGCTATGAATCGTATCATATACTTTAAGTTTGATAACCACTGAGTTGCGGCTTTTAACTCATAACGTTGTGAATTTTTATTTTTATTTTTATAAATCACCATTTTACTCTTTACATTTCACTACCTTTTTTCCATTTACAAGACAGCGGCGACGCTTCAAAAGAAACATTAGACTTAACAATACGTTTCTCTAATCTGTTTAACGATATTTTCTTTAAGGAAAATCATTTGGTGAGTACATAAACTCAGAGGAACAATTTTCTTGGAAACGTAATATAATAAGGCTTGTTCATTTTGACGAATTCTGAAGACTGAACTTTATTATTCTATTTATCTTATATTCCCATAAATTGGGTACGTTGACATATCCAGTGGGGTTTAGATGTGAGTTAGTAGAACAAACGAATAAATACAAATAGGATGGATATACGAGTATTGCTTAAAATGCACGGTGATATCGCTACAGAACCTTTGTTAAGGAGTTTAGAAATAATATTTTTAAGGACCTATATTGTACCATGACGTATACAGGATAAACATAATGATTCTGGGAGAATATTAGATTATTTTATAGATGAGTAATATTTTACTATTAATTCACATATTACCCATTCGTTAGTAGTTGTAATAAATTCCATTCCATTTATGTAGTAGTAGTAAAACATATTACTTAAGCGTTTTAGCTTCACACTTCTATAGATAGATAGATAGAAACTTTTTTTTACACCGTTTTAAAAGTAGTATGGTACATAAAAATATCAGACCTGTAAAGTACAAAAGGCGGCCTTATTGCAAAGAGCAATCTTTTCCAGGCAACCTTAGGATGGATTAAAATGTTTTGGAGAGATGGTAGTAGTTGATTCATCTTCAAGATCTTGTCAGCGTTTGCGAAACTTCTTAAAAAAGCGTACAAAGAATTGTCTGTCTAATATTATTAGGAACTTAACCAAATAGCATTTACACACACAACAGATTTCAATTTCGGTTAAAACTGCATGTGTTTGAATCACTGTTTCAAATACGAAAGTGAATGTTTAAAGTTTCAGTAAATAAATAGGTTAAAAAATTTTTGTTGATTGCAACATGTTGCAATAAACTGAACTTTATACTTTAAAGGAACCTGTTTTGTTATGTAAGAACGCTTCAGAAGATGTTGATAGGACAAAATAATTGTAATACTACCTTCTTTCAATCACACTCCATCTAATTATTTGTCGCTACGTAATCATAACAAACATTGTTCCGCTTTGTCGGGTACTCGTATTTGATAGTTCGTTAGTTTCCTCGGCGCGGCACTATGAGCTTATTTTACCTTATTTATTAGTTTTATGTGACAATGTCTGGGTTCTTATATTCCTAACTAGTCGTGACCTACTTACTGAGCTTGGTATAGGTTTAATAACACAATAATTATTGTTATACGAGCCTTGCTAATGTCCTGTAATTATCGTCCGTAGTTTCGAAGTTTCCATTTTGTGTTCTTAAACAATTTTTTATTGTATTTGGAATTGTTTAACCCAATTTGTAATGTTTTAATATGTTATGTTAGATACAAAGCGAACCATTTACTTCATTCATATTAGGTACTGGCAACTGAAGCTTCTTGAACCTTCTTCAGCATTTGTCGTGAGTTAATGTAGTATAGTGTATTTACAGTAATGTGTTACCGTAAGCAGCTAGACAGAGAATAAAATCACAATCACCTGTGATAAATCATATGACTTAAAAATCATATAAACACCCCTCTGACTAATTGACAAAAGCAACGCGACTTATTCTTGCGAAGAGCCAGACTCGCGAAAGGACTAAATCTAAAAAAAAAAGGTCTTGACAAAAGTAAATTTAATTAATGGCATTTATCTTTGTCTATCACCAAATCACAATCACAGGTCAAATCCTTATGACTAAAACCAATCAGCTCTTCATATGATTTAAAAGTGGCATTAATTTCCATGTCTCTAAACTTATATAGACTATTATGGGTATGCTTGTTATTTACACCGGGTAATTATGTTACGACAGGGTTTTTAACAGCGTACCGGTAACGCAATCCTGTCGGTCACAATTAGTGTTTACACGCCCGTCGAATTGTAGTTCATTAAGATTTCATTGGTAGCTGAATTCTTTTGGTGTTTTACTACGAGCGTTACATGCATTTTAAAACCAATCATAGTACAGTTTTCTTGTGAAACTATCACTGATATTCCGAATTTGCTTTTATAATTAAAGTAAAAACAGTCTTAATTAAACTTATAATAAAATAGAAAACTGATAAGCAAAAATAGTTCTCACCTAAAGAACTTTTATCTGTAGCCTGCAAAGTATATCCTTCTCCTTTCAATTACGCTAATGACGTATTTTGCAACAGATGGTAGTAACAACGTGCTCCATTTTAAGTTTTTTTTTTTGAAAATCATTCACAAAGGATGGTAGACGCTGCTCCTTAGTTTCCAGGTAGAAAACCTTTGCAAAAAGTAATCAACATTGATACCTATCTACAGGAGCGATTTTTTTAGTCAGTACATGTATCCATTAGTCACAGATTCGATCTAGCCTTGTGAAGCCGGCCTTGGTAGCGAACATTAAATGGTAACAGGGAGTGAGCCGTAGTATATCGAAAGTGAGTCAGAGTTTCTCCCCAAGTAAATCCCGTTGTGGGTTCTCAATTTTTCTCCAAAAAAGCTCGTTTGGCTCCAACACTAAATAGGTACGCATTTAATCTCAATTTATTACTTTAAAATATGTAAAGTAGTAAAATTTTTATCAATTAAAATAGTGTTGTAATATCTACATTCACCGTTGGCTTATTGTGTAAAGGACGCTTGTCTCTGAATGTGCGCTAAGCGCAGAGGCTGTCATATACACAATGCTGACATTGCAATACCTGGGGCTTTATCCAGTAGAAACGACCGTGAGCGCAAGATAGTTCATTTTTCTATTGTGATATGTACACAGAAAATGAATTTCACACTATAACGTAGACGAGATTTCTATTTTAATTTAGAATTGAAAAAGAACACATAAAAAGTTTAAATGCACGTCTAGAATTGCAGACCAACATTTGTAGATATTCTCTAAGAATATTATCATAATAAATTGTGTATTCATTTCAGGAACGTATTTCTTGCTGTATGATTTCCTTGACTACTTCGAAAAGGATGGACCGAGTTTTCTGCAGAGAGAAAAGTTCCTAGAAATTGTTGATACAATATTTAAGGATTTCTCTAAAATCAAGCGAGAAGCTATCGTTTTCCAAGTAAGTGAAGTTTTTGTAGTTACGAGGGTAATTATTTTACTACTAGGAAACTGAAAATGAGAAAAGTACCTATGTAGCATTTTAGTTACTTCTGTAATTAATTATTTTTTTATCGACTATCCATACCTACCATTTATTGAAATGGTCTTGGTTTTGTGAATGTTGTATATAAAATTGTAAATACATCGCAAAAACATTTAAACAGTAAATATTAGCGGTTAAAATTTTAGAGTATGTAATCAAAAATATAGTTGTGTACGTACCCACTAACACGGGATTATCGCGATCACAAGCTATTAGCATTGACTATTAGCAGTCAGCCTGGTCAAACAACCGCGACCAGAGCATTCTGGCCAAAAAGTCTGTCAATTTAAAGGTTTGTAATAGCTATTTCATGTAGGTACATAATTGCAACCCAATTCCGACTAGTCTTAATAAAATGTTCGTGAGCTAAACATTGCTTGTTTAAACAAGTTTCATTCACAGTAAACAGTTGCTCACAAAATTATAATGAAACGAAATAAAGTGTTCTTTTAAATACATACAATGAGAGATACTCACCTACTCGGTCCCTGACTTTTTGGATCTTTAAATATGAAATGTCAAAATGTCACGTCAGGTCTGGCGATAAAGATTATGTTGTTTTGTAGAACCCACTGATGTTACATTGTTATGACAAAGGGTTCATTTAAATGTATAATTATAACGATGACAAATAAATATTATTCGTTTACAACACAACCTTGAAATATACATAAATTGCTGTAATTAAAGAGTCTTAAAAGTCGAAACTAATGAGTAAACAATCAACAATTGTATCAGATTCCAAAAGGTACTCAATCCGTTTAAAAACATATATACATAACT